TATTCAGTGTTCAATGCTATTTTATTTCCTTATAAGAAGGAAAAGGAGAACAGTGACATAAATGGACATTTGAATATTGGAACATCCATGATAAACACCAAAATAATGCATAATAGGAAAGTATAAAGGCAATGTTAACCCACTCTATAATACAGCCTGCATCCCTAACAGTACTTCATGCATACAAACTTTTTCCACTACCTGAAAATCTTCACTGCTTATTATTTCTCCATGTCAGTAAAACTTGAATTGTTGTCCTCTTATCCTATGCACAGTATCTATCAGTAAGTATATGTAGATACTTAGACGCACATTGCGATTTCAAATAAAATACAATTAAATTCCATTTAATTTTAGGGGGATCACACCCTCAGTCACAGGCCATATCACAAAGTGCTACCACACATTATGTTAGTTATGGTCCTTACAACTACAGCATGCCTGTACAAACTTGTGTGTGTGTGCGTGTAGGTATGCTGCTGGCGGGTCTGCTGTTGCGTAATGTTCCTTACATAACGGACGCCGTCTTCATTGACACTCACTGGTCTGCAGCTCTGAGGAGCATCGCCTTGTCCATCATCCTGACCAGAGCTGGTCTGGGCCTCAACCCTGAGGTGCACGAACAGTCAAATACTGTAGCAGCATACAATTCCTGACACGCTGGTAGTTACACACAGAAAATCAAATGCAGTCTCTTAAATCCTTGTTTGCATGCAGGCTTTAAGTCGACTGAAAGCAGTGTGCGTACGTGTTGCAGTTGGACCCTGTATGGTGGAAGCCTGCATTGGTGCTGTGGTTTCTCACTTCCTGCTGGGTCTGCCATGGGTTTGGGGTTTCTTACTGGGGTAATTTGCACACACACATACACACAATGGTCTTAGTCAATACTTTAGTTGACATGTTGGAATCTCTTAAACAGACTTTAAACAGGTGGTTTCTGCATGTTAATTGCAGCTATTTCTTTCTGTATGGCTGATCCAAAGTAAGTAAAGCGACACTCACTGTATCTGTGGTGTGTGTGTTTGTGCAGTTTTGTACTGGCTGCCGTTTCTCCAGCAGTTGTTTTTCCTTCAATGCTGCTCCTGCAGAGAGAAGGATATGGAGTGGAGAAGGTAAATTATCACCCGTTACTATCATCACTACATTTGACTGATGAAAGGTTCATCCTGCCAGAAGGGGCAGCGTATGGGTGGAAAAAGAGATGAGCCTGAGATGAGTCTATAGAAATGAGAAAACATGTGTGTAGGCTTATGCAGAGCAAGTATAACCTAAAAATAACAGCCATTACAGGAGTTCTAGAGGACTCTAGAACTCCTGTAATGGCTCTAACTCCATCAACACATTCTGAGCGATTGCTAAGCTTCCTAATTGTGTCCTAGCCCCTTTACAAGGACCCACAGTGACCTCTAGGAGACCCACTGTGGCCCATAATACCTTCTACAAAGTTACAAGCTTAAGCAGAATCAGAATACTTTATTGATCCCTTATCAATAAGGTATTAGTCACTCATTAGCCACTTATTGATAAATAGCTGGATAAGAAGAAGAGCATGTGCAACAGGGGTGTAGCTGTTGCAGTAAACAGTGTGTTAAGTGGATGCGTTGTACAGGGAGATGGCCACAGGCAGGAAAGATTTCCTGTGTC